GTCGTACTAGTACGTCTTACGCGTAGGGGTTTTTGACGTACTAGTACGCATAAATTCTAGCGGCCTCAAATCTAGTGGGAGAAAGCTGGTAGGCCTTCATATGAAAGAATGGGTCTATGTGGTCAGTGTGCACAGTCTAAAAAAAATCCTGCAGCACACAGTGCATAATGAGAAAAAAAAAAACTTTCACCATTTTTTTGGAATAAATCAGCGACTTTGCAGTGTATTTTCGTATGGTATTTATTGTTGTATTCTAGTTTTCTTGGTCTCATTTTATAGAATGGAAGACATATTACAGAAATTGAGATGATTTTGACTGGTTTTACAATGAAAGGTGCCTTGAAATTGAGCTCAAATTAGCAGAAATGTTCGATTTTTACCAAACTTCAAAAGTAAACAAATCGTGCCAAGCGTGCAATACACGTCAACTGGTGAGTCTAATATTCTTTCACAAGTGCACCAATAATATTTATACCATTTTTTACACTAATGCAGTAGTCTGCATAACAGTAAATCTTATATTTTTTTGTGAGAATAAAATTCAAAGTGGAAAGCAAAAGAATATAAGAGGGGCCTTGAGACGTGACTAATGACTAGAGGAAATGTCATTTTAGTGCCAGGAATGTCTTTCTTGTTTATTCTGGACCCTATTCGGAAATTGGCATCTTTTGAAATTTGTGTGAAATTGGCAAAATTGCTAAATTCTGACCACTGTACTGGATAGTTGAATTTCATAAATGGGTGGTTTCTTGCACCCATTCGATAGAAAAAATGGAGTTCTAGCGAAATATTCATGTTTTTTGTCGACTAGTACAGTGAAATTGGCCGAAAATGGGGCTCAAAGTGGGCAAAATCGCCGATGTGTAAACATCGCCGAGACCGCTAACTTTGCGAGAGCATAATTCTGTAAGTTTTCTATCAAATTTCAAACTTTTGGTGTCTTTATGATCGGGAAAAGATTCTCTATCTTTTCATAAGAGAAAATAATTTTTATTTTTTAAAATTTGGCCGACCCTGAGAACGAGTTTCGGAGAGGGCCTGTCGACCCTCAAAGGGTTAATAATGATATTAATAATGATATTAATAATGACATTAATAATGATATTAATAATATTATTATTATAATCAAGAGGAAAATAAGAAAATAATGATAATAACACAATAATAATCACTCTGAGGTGCATTAACCCTTTGAGGGTCCAGAGGCCAAATCTCAGACTGACAGCCAGGGTCCAAGAATTTTTTTAATTTTTGCCAACAAGAAATCGCTCAGTCAATTGTTTCAACTACCCAATAAAGTGATCGGAAATTGGCAATTTGACCAATTTATCACAAAGTTCAAAACAGGGCCCTGAATGAACAATGCAGGCATTCCTGACACTAAACTAACATTTCCTCTGTTCATTAGTTACTTTTTCAGGCTTTACAAATGAATTCCACTTTGATTTTTTATTCACATAATGAATTTTCATTCACACCAAAAAATAGAAGATTTACTGTTATGCAATGTTGTAATAATTATACAAATAATATCAGCACATTCATGAATGTATATCAAATCCACCAGCTGACGTGTATAAGACTCTTGACGACATTTGTTTACTCTTGAACATTGGCAAAAATTGAACATTTCGCTACTTTGAGCTCAGTTTCAAGCTATTTTCAGTACTAAAACCAATCAAAATCCTCTCTATTTCTGTAATATATCTTCCATTCTTTCAAAGGAGACCAAGAAATCATGAATATATCTGTAAAAAACATACAAAAAATCACCGCAAAGTTGCTGTTCTAATCGAAAAATCCTGCAGCACAGTGCTGCAGGATTTGTTTTATGTGGTGCACACTTATCACATAGATGTGTTCTCTCATATCTAGGCCCAAATTTACCGCTCACAGGTTATACGAGTGAGCTGAGCTCATGGTGTAGATCTACGGTTTGGACCCTGGTTTCAAAGCCACAGATCTACAGGACAGACCCCTCAAAGGGTTAAATGTTGTATATTATTTTAATATAGACATTTTGATTAATCCAGCGATGATATTTTTTCAAAATTTTATAATAAACATGCTACGTAGCATATAAACATGATAAATACACCCCACAGTAGAATAAATCAACATAAATGTAAGATGTTTTTTCCAGTCATCTTGTCGGAGTGTTGGAAAAAATAACGTTTTCTCTAGTCCAACACCAAAGAAAATGTGTACTGTAACTGTACACTGTAAATGTAGAAAATTATGTTTCGTATGCCTTCACTCAGTGTTATTCCTTCTAAAAATGGTGTGTTACATGAGAATGGGAGTGTTGCTCTTTATTTATTCTACTCTACCAATGTGGAGACAACTTGTACACAATGTAAGGTGTTTGTATTATGGCATAACCAGATGCATTCATCTATTTACTTACATACTCTGTGGCTCTGTCCTCTCTCATTTATTTGTTCTCTCTCTCTCAACAAATGTTTTAAGGAAAGTAATGAGTGTACTGTATATGCATTTTATCGCTCTAGGGTGCTTTAAATGTCGTAGTAGGTGGGGTGGCCAGGCGGGCTACCATACCTCCCACACCTGACTTTCTACAAATAAATACTATTTACCTTTCACCCTACCTTAAGACCATTAAGATTACAAATATTTTAAGGTAAGTAATGAGTGTACAATACATGCATTTATCACTCTAGGGAGCTTTAAATATTGTAGTATATTACATGTGGGTGGGGTGGCCAGGAGGGCTACCATACCTACCATACTTGACTTCTTTCAATATATACTACTCACTTCTCACCCTACATGAAGACTACAAATATTTTAAGTAATGAGTGTACTGTGTGTGTATTTTACTTATTGTTTTTTAATGCTTAGTTCTACTGCTAACTTAATATATGTTAGTGTAAATTTATCTGGCGTATATCTGCATTTATAAGTGGGAAAAAATGGTGTTCTGCTTTCTAGCGATGTCCGCTTTCCAGTGGTAGCCTGGAACCTCGCCTGCCATATAAGTGGGGCTCTATTGTACTATTAATTCAGAGGAAGTGCTAAACCTAAGTATCTTTTAAATATATTTTCTACTCTCTGTAGTGTTGCTGTAGACAGGTATGATACTTAATACCCACATTCAGGGCAGGAAGCCTTTGGCTATCAAGGTCTATCAAGTCAAGCACTTGATCATCTCTGAAAAAGCAGCCTACACCACTTGACTAACACCCAGGTACTACACCAATATACTGGTAGGTGAGGATGAGCACCCAGGATACCAGAAAAGGAAAAACATTTCAAATGGAAAGACCCAGGAAAAATGTTACAGTAATAATCCTCATACACAATCTATGTCTTAAATGTTGCTAATATGAATGTTCTCTTTGGATAATAAATAAATAAAATAAATACACACACACATATAGACACATATGAACCCACATATGCACAAGCATGCACACACGCATACACAAAACCAGACCACTAACTGAAACTGAAACTAATGTATATAGGTGTGAATTACTCCACTATCGGTACTATGTTTCTTATTCTTCACTCTAAGAAAACAGAAATGAAGAATGAGAGAGACAATACTGATAGTAGAACTATTCACAGCTATCTACATTAGTTTCATCTTCAGTTAGTGAGCTGGTTGTGACAGTATATGATTATAACAACCTGTTAATGTTTTGCTTGAATTTTGCACTAAATCACATATGCATTACTATGTTGAAATGGAAAATTGAAATGTAGGTTAAAACGCTAAAACAGAAGCAAATCTGAAAACAGACTGCTTACCTCCCCCCCCCCACCTTACTAAAACCATCTGATTTTACAAAGCACAGGCAAATAACTAGTCGTGACCACAACATTTATATAAAAGTTACATCTTTACAATGTAAAATACTAACCTGACATTTCCAGGTGACTGTTGGAACCAAAAGACAATCACATTTCGAAGTTGCCTATGGGTTCATTGTAGAATAAACTGAACTGCACACAGGTGCACAAAGACCCAGTATCTACCTCATGATAGAGCTCATCAAATTAATCAAATTCATTCTTTCCTCTCTACAAACACCTTCAGTTTGCCAGTTATTTGCTTGACAGTACCATCTAGTAATATTTTAAATAAATACAAAGCTGGGATTCACTCACTCCACAACAAATTGACAACAATGCATTGCCTTTGATTAAATGTAAAGACTACTTTCACCACATGTAGTATATGGAAAAAATCAGGCACAAAGTTAAATTATTACACTAAAGGCATGTGTAAGATAACAAGTTTTATAGTTGCCACAACAAATTCAAGGCACTGAAGAATATATACCTCGGTCTATATCCAAAGATTATGGGAAGTCAGCAGATTGACATAACACATTATGCAGTAATTAGAGCATCAGGAATTCAGAATGCATGGGATCAATCAATGCCCTAATTTTAGATTAATTTGGACAACCAATCAACATCTTCAAGTACTGAGTTAACAACTGTCTGCATTACTGAGTTAACAATTCTAATACTGAGTTAACAACTGTCTGCATTACTGAGTTAACAACTGTCTGCATTACTGAGTTAACAACTGTCTGCATTACTGAGTTAACAACTGTCTGCATTACTGAGTTAACAACTGTCCGCATTACTGAGTTAACAACTGTCTGCATTACTGAGTTAACAACTGTCTGCATTATTGGGTTAACAACTGTCTGCATTATTGGGTTAACAACTGTCTGCATTACCTCTGTGTCAAAATATTGCAATTATTTTCTGAAAACTATACAGATTAGGTATATACAGCAAAGTTATTTTGGTTAAAAATTAGTCCTGCATACTCTGTGTCAATAAATAAATTAATTGTCAATAAAATAAGAGATGGTGAATTTATATAAAATATTATCTTTGACAAAAAGTCAGCAATTTGTATATAAATAAGGTTAAATGTCAATTAAATAGATGTGTGTTATATAAATATATGATATTTTCACCAAACATTGTGTCATGTATTACTTCTTGATATTTCACCCAACTTGTGTCATATAGGCATTATCTTGATATTTCACCCAACTTGTGTCATATAATGTTACCTTGATATTTCACCCAACTTGTGTCATATAGGCATTATCTTGATATTTCACCCAACTTGTGTCATATAAATGTTACCTTGATATTTCACCCAACTTGTGTCATGTATTACCTTGATATTTCACCCAACTTGTGTCATGTAAGTATTACCTTGATATTTCACCCAACTTGTGTCATGTGTTACCTTGATATTTCACTCTGTGTCATTTGAAAAAAGAAAATATCTGAAGCTATTTACTATAGAGAAAACTTTGTAACTCTGCACTGACACTGATTACAACTGAGAACATAAATTAGTGGTCTAATCAACTACTACACAGAGCTGTAAAAATACTGAAGTGCTTGAAAATTTGGCAGATAATGCAATGCCACGTTCAGGGGGCTCATATAATATATTGCATTTGTTGCTTAATGCAGAAGTTTATAAATAACACTGCATCATTACAGAAGATCTATGGATTATATCACAATTCACATTGTAGGAATGTAGAAATAAATATCATGAAAGCCAAATGCTTCCAAAACTCAAGCTGACTGTCAACACACATACACATAGAGTGGAACCTCGGCTTACAAGTGCCCCACCATACAAGTTTTTCAGGATACAAGCAGTCGCTCGGTTGATTTTTTGTTTCTGGATATGAGCAAAAATTCAGGATGCGAGTTTCCCCCTCAAGGGAGGTTCCTTGATGCTGGTGAGGGGCTCTTGATCTAGGGAATTGGATCTGTGCACCAGTCCCCTAAATTAATAATAATAATAATTATAATAATAATAATGAGGAATTTCAGAGCATTGCCACTAGGTGGCACAGCCAATGCCACATCATCAGCTGAGGTGTCCAATGTGTTTATGTTGCCGTGGAAGTATTTCTCATGTTATTATTGCCAAATTTCTTTTTTCTAACCATGGGTTCTAAGAAAGTAAGTGCAAAGGACAGTGCTGAAAAAAAAGAGGATGATGTCCATGGAATTACAGCATGAAATCATAGATAAACAAACGAGGGGGTGGCAGTAGGAGCTAGTAGCAAGTAGCCTATCTTCCACTCTCCACCTCCACCAGCGTATGTACACTTCATAAAACCACATTATTTCTCTACATTCTCTATTATGTTTTTATACAATATTTCTTATTTATGAAACTAGTGCAGTTAGCCTCACAAACACTCCATTTTCTCTTATAATAAAAGCATGGGAAGATATAGTCAGAGCGGGAGAGGGAATGTACGCCGCTGCCACTACTCGCCATATTAAAGCCTATTTTATTCATTCTAGAGTATATATCATGTTTCTATATTAATTATATTGTTCATTATGTCATATTAGATGAACTGTGATAGATAGATAAATAAACCGCAGAGTTGATATTAGCGTCATATTGAAGTATTTTTGTCCTGCCTCCTGAGAGCAGGAATTCCGTTGGAACGGATTAATGGCATTTCAATTAACTTAAATAAGGAAAACTGACTCAGCATATGAGCAGATTGGGATACGAGTAAGGTCACAGAACGGATTAAACTCGTAAGCCGAGGTTCTACTGTACATTTGTTGTGGCTTCAATACACCTCATAGTAAAATTTACAATTAGAACATTTTTAATGCTAATGAAAGTTTTAGAGATTAAAAATTCACAGATGAACAGGAATGTAAAAATTCTTATACTAACAAAACACCTACCTTACCCTGCTTGTCTCTTTATAGAAAACATTTCCAATAATGTCTGAACAATGTGATTTCCTGGGCAACTAATTATACTAATTTTGGCATAAAATTTTCCAAACTGATCATTCTGAAAAGCTGGTTACTGAATTACTGATGCTCTGATCTAGTTACCAAAATCCACTACCAAGAAAAACTGCTCAAAAGAAAACTAGGTTGCATTATTTTTTAATGAACATGAAACTTAAAGTGTTTATAGCTCCATATGCAGACATTGGTAATGTAAGTGGAAGTGACAAGTATAATGGAGGCTACCATGGAGTAATGAATGGTCAAACATTTATTTAACAGCACTGAAACATGGTATTAGTATTTACAAACTGACCTTTTTAGACCCATTTTGCAGGTAACAAGAGAATGAGATGGTTGGAAGATGAGCTGATACTGAACTTACTTATAAAATGCATTCCATTAATTTCAAAAGAATTTTATAGGATTATTTGTTAAAATTCTTGGAGAAGATTTCAATAAACAGCTTTCTCTTCTTTGCATTTGAATATTGATGGAATTATTAGTCAAGCTATTAACAACCCTAATCATACTGCCAGAACATAAAACACAAACTAGGGTTAAAATCTGCAGCTTCCACTAAGTTGTCCAACTACATGTGCTCCTAACATCATCCTGCATCTATTATAATAACCAAACCTCACAGTTCACACTTGAGAGAATGTACATACATTAAGTTCATCTTTAAATTCAAAATGTACATGGAATGCTTCTATTCTATACTTCTATATGTTGTGTTACTGTATGACTCAGCTGACTCTATCAACATAGCCTGCAAGCAGTAAATTTCTGACTTCTCAACACTAAGTCACACTGACATAGGTCTTGTATACAAGTATCTTTTAAGTATAGTACAATTCTTGCCTTTTTTTCACTGTTGATAAACTTCAAAAAATTTGCTCAAACCAGTTGAGCTTATAACAATTTAAGCAGCTTACTTTCACTTTTAAACTTCAAAAAAGCACATTTTTAGACTAAATATCTTGTGCACAAAGCAGGTATGTATCTTTCACAAGCACTGAAAAGAAAAATTGCATGATGTATTAAGCATTGTACGCAACATTTTGCTTCAGTTCCAAAATGCTATTCAGCATATTATCAGTAAATAATATTAATACTGTATTAATTTTCAGATTATGTCAAAATAATGTATTTACTTACCTTTTTATTTTTCTTGCTTTTGTCATGTTCAGTGGCATACAATGCTGTTCTTCACAATTTAAAACAAAAACTGTGTTCATATAATCCTTCTCTCAATTTCCATGAGAAGTTTAGTGAAGTTTAGAATAGATGAGTCCATCCATCATGTTGAATGAGTTTCCATCAGGTTGAAGGGTGATAGTTGTGCCTGAGACAAGCTGGGCTTCTAAAAACCCATAATTGTCCACTCCAACAATGACAGCAGATTCTGTCCTTCGATGTTCATTCTGAACTGTTACTGTTGCATTGCTGAAATTAAAAGACTGAACTACAGACATTTAAAAATATTAGTCTATAAGTATAATGCAATCTTATTTGTACATACAGTAATACAGTATGGCCCCACTTACACGGTATTGCGACCCCTGAATGGGTCACAATGTATATAATGTATATTACCTGTTCATATAATTTTATATTGCTTATATTTGCGATAATAGCTAAATCGTAAATATATTGCTTTATATTATTATTTGACTTAGTTATATTTATTAGGTAGGATGTAACATTTATATATTATTCAGTGCTCATAGTTTGAGTGTTAAGTAGCTAACGATTGTTAGACAATGGTCTAACAATCGTTATGCACGTTATGCTGCCGGCTTCTCTGTGTTGCTGGGCAGCAGCAGTCCATGGAGCAATCATGTGATGAGGATGGGGGGTGATCACACCTCACCTGGGTGAGACTGTCTTGCTTTGATTCACCCTCTTTTCTGTTTTGGCTTGGCTTCCGACAAGACATGTCTTCCTTACTGGCCCTTGTTGGAAGATCGTCTCTGTCGCTTTCTTGTTGTTGGTTCTGTGTAACTCCGTTCACAGAACATAGCCTAGACTTAGTGATTTTCGACATTGTACTGAGGTTGTGTGTCACATAGACACTCTGAGAAACTCAAGTCCTGAGCTGTAGCTTCTGACCTAATTTGTACTGGTATCTGTGTAATGTCACAGTCGGGGATTTTCTAATGCTGAACTTAGATTCAGTAGTATGGGAGTTTTGTGACTTTTGTGGAGGATCTGCAGATGGTCCCTACTTAGTGTCGTTATATTATCTCCTTATTCCTGATTCTGTGTCGCTGTTGCTTGTTATATTGCTGTTCGGCTTATCAGTCATTTTATTGTTCAAGCAAGCTGTTCTGATTGCCAGGTTGGTCAAGAAGTTAGTTTATGTGAGGACTTTTAGTCAGTCACTGGTTAAGTCTAGCCGAGTCTTGAGACATAGCGAACTACCTAGAGCACTTACACACATACACACAAACTTACTTGTATATATTTGTATTATGTTATTAATTGCTAACAATGTACCAGACAATACTTAAAAGCCATTAAGATGTGATATGTGCCTTCAGCACAATACTACTGTACACGAGAGAAGTGATTATTATAATTATTTTGATTATATTGATTACTTTAACAAGCTTCCTGAAGGGAAAAAAATACATTTTGAATTTCTGTTTTAGATACACAAACACATTCCTAATCTCATATAACCTGTTGTTTCTGTGAGGCCTGGTTTTGTCTGAAAAGTGAAGCATACGTAATAGTAGCACAAATCGATTCACTCCTATTATATCACTGAAACCTGGGGTTGCAATCAGGCTGTCTGTTGACCAATATGATTTCACACTATGCTTATACACATGTGGCATAAGCATTATTGTGGCAAACAAGATACATCTCAGCCACAGTTGTCTCCTTCCATTGGTGTAAGCGTGAGTTAGATGAAAGTGTTGTGTTTGCCATGGTGTACTCATAGTATCTGTTGCTTTCCCTGACAGTAATTTCCATCAGGGGTTCATGAAAGAATAACTCGAAACATTCCAGTTCACTGGCATTGTTCCCAATTGTACAAGATGGCCGTATTCCACTTTGACTTTCATCAAAGTGATGGGGGATTGGGAACAAAATTGGCAGCTTCCTGCCAATCCCAGGTGCAGTCTGCTGGTGGGTACTGGATATTGACAGGTGGTTGTGGTTTTGGAGGTTGTGGTTGTGGAGGCTGGTGTGGTGGGTGGGTGGGGGATGGTGGCCTTTGTTGTAGATTAGCTGAGGCAGCAGCGTGGGTGGCAGCGTGGGTGGCAGCATGGCCCACTGCTGGTGCCTCACGGCTGGCACCACCACTACCACCACCATGCACATTTTCCATCCCAATTGCAACACTATCATCTTCATTTTCACTGTCTGTTCCTGTTGTACAGCCACGGGATGTACTCCGAGATGTACTCTTTCCCCTTGGAATAGCATATGGCACACTACCAGAGCGCATATACGGTTGTATATATTGATGCTTCACTGGAGAATATTCCACTTCACTATCACTACTGGAACTGTTTTTAAGAGCTTGTAGTTCATATTCACTATCACTATCATCACCAATGCTCACATCTGAGCCCGGGATTTGGGAAAATAGGAGTTTCCTCTTTGATTCTGGTACAACTGAATGTTAACAAGACGGCCCAGCAGCAGAGGTGGAAGGCTGAGGGTCGTCTGGGTTTTCCTCACTATTACCGGTGTTATGGTCATTAGTTTCGGTCACAACCTTATCAAAATGTTGAAACTCATCTTTACTGGCACTTCCATCTGTATTAGAACTGTCACTGGGGAACAAGTGTCCCAATTCACATAGGAGTGAGGAGCTTCTTACCACAAGGCATGGTGAACAATGTCTACTAAAATGGCATTCCCACAACGCGCCACTGGGTCCCAGAATTTTTTTCTACTGCGCACACCGATCACGCAGACCCATTCTCTCACATCTAGGCCTACCAGCTGTTTCCCGCTTAATTTGAAGCCGCTCGAATTTATGCGTACTAGTACGGCACCAACCCTGAAAGGGTTAACATGACTCACGAAATCGTAATGACACGATTGCAAACAAACCATACCACGGGTGGGATTTGAGCCCGCGGTCAGAGAGTCTCAAAACTACAGACCGTCGCGTTACCACTGGACCAGCTAGTTGGACGAATCTTACTGTGGCTAGCTGGTCCAGTGGCTAACATGACGGTCTGGAGTTTTGAGACTCTCTGACTGAGGGTTCAAATCCCACCCGTGGTATGGTCTGAAAGGGTTAAGTTTGTCAGAAAGGAAGTGACCAGTTTCACCAAGCTATTGGAGAGGACAAGAGGAGTAAGAAATGGAGTGGACACATGAAGTATGAAACAAATTGCTAGGAAATACTAGTTTGAATGAACACAAGTTTAGAATCTGGTAGATGGAGGGAGTTTTATATTTTAACAAATTAAAAATGGTGGCAATACCTTCATCTGCTGCACTTCCCTTATCTGATGACAGTATATAAGTGCCAATCTTCCTGCCTGTGTTTCAGATTCAAGATTATGGTGCTCATCATCTTCTAGGCCAAGAGACTGATTACCTTGTCTTTTGTATATAATTTTACAGTCTTCACATTACGTCCTTGTATCAATTAAGTCACTTGATGGTGAAATGTTTACAAATTCAAGATACCCAAATGTTGCACACATGTCTAATTATTCTTCTTGTAGTCAAATACAAAGGAGACAGCAGAAACAGTGGAGAGGTAAAGATGATGTGATGAGTCCCATCATGAAATAGTAGTTATGGGGTTGTCAGTCCCTCAGCCTGGAGAACTGTTCATCTCCATAGTCTTGAACAATGTGAAGTTGAAGCATAAGGATAAGAGCCTTTTAAACTGCCAAATGAGATGCAGAAAATCTAGAGGCAGGATACACTGGTAGAAGCAACAAGGAAGGCATTGAGGAACAATGCAGCAAGTCTACCAGCCCATGCTAAGCAGGTAGGCCTGCTGTATTGTTCCTCAATTCCTACCTTGTTGCTTCTACTAGTGGGCCCAACTTTCTGTGGCATCATCTAGATTTTCCATGCCTCACCTCTGACAGTATAAAAGGCTTTTATCCTCATGCCTCATCTTCATATTGTTCAAGACTATGAAGTTGAACATTTCTCCAAGTTGAGTTACTGACGACCTCACACCTACTATTTCAAGAGCGATGGGCTCATCACTCTTGAAACAGTAATGAAACTGCCTACCGCCATCACCACCACCGCCGCTGCCAAGAAGTTGATGGACTGATCACATCATAGTAACCGTTCCACTGTTTCTTCTGTCTCTGTATTTGATTAAAGAAGCCTACTGTGTAGGTGAAGTGTATTTACAATACAGATACCCAACTGTTGCACCTGTGTCTTACTCATCTACTTATTAGCATTGTATACTAATATATTTCAAAAATGATGTACATGGGATCTGGAAATATGACACTTTTAAAATATTTACTTACTGTGAGTATGTTAACCCTTTAACTGTAACGGTGTTCATCAATGTGTCTCTAGTAGTGCTCTGTGCATAAAACAATGTACAACAGAACCTCAGCTTATGTGTTTAACCCTTTGAGGGTCCGTGCCATCAATCTATGGCTTTATGTTGAGGGTCCAAACTGTAGATCTACGTCATGAGCTCAGCTCACTCTGATAAGCTGTGAGCAGTAAATTTTGACCTAGATACGAGAGAATACATCTATGTGGTATGTGTGCACCCCATAATACAAATCCTGCAGCACATAGTGCATAATGAGAGAAAAAAACTGAGACCATAATTTTCGATTAAAACAGTGACTTTGCAGTGCTTTTTCTTATGTTTTTTTATAGTTGTATTTGCGATTTCTTGGTCTCATTTGATAGAATGGGAGATATATTACAGAAATAGATATGATTTTGATTGGTTTTAATACTGGAAATGGCTTGAAACTGAACTCAAAATAGCAGAAATGTTAAATTTTTGCCGATGCTCAAGAGTAAACAAATGACCTCACACGTCTAATACACACCAGCTGGTGGGTCTAATATACGTTCACAAATGTGGTGATATTATTTATACAATTATTACAATATTGCATAACAGTAAATCTTCTATTTTTTTGGTTTGAATAAAAATTCATTATGTGAATAAAAAATCAAAATGGAATTCATTAGTAAAGCCTGAAAACATAACTAATGAACAGAGGAAATGTTAGTTTAGTGCCAGGAATGCCTGCATTGTTTATTCTGGACTCTATTTTGAAATTGAAGTACAGTGGACCCCCACATAACGATCACCTCCGAATGCGACCAATTATGTAAGTGTATTTATGTAAGTGCGTTTGTACGTGTATGTTTGGGGGTCTGAAATGGACTAATCTACTTCACAATATTCCTTATGGGAACAAATTCGGTCAGTACTGGCACCTGAACATACTTCTGGAGTGAAAAAA